ACACAAACACATGGGTGTGGAAGGGAGAAGAGGAAAGAGAGAGGCAATGGGGTTCTGTGTGTCTTCCAAGGTATGGAAGGACATACAGAGAATAGTTTGAACTTTAAAATGGATGAATCTGAGTTTGTACTAAGTAAAATAGGGCATGCTGGTAAGAAGGCCTTCGGGTATGGAAAAAATTAGCTGGCATTGTGGCTTCCATGAGTACAAATGTGTAAGTGTTAATTAACAAGGCATGCTTGTTGAAAGATTTAAATTTCAATAGTATTATGAGAGATGCTATATGGGTAAACTTAAAGTAAACAATAATATAGTTGTACATCTTCTTATAGCCAAATAAAAGACAGTGAGAAAAAATCTTGAGAAGCTTAAGTTGTAGAAAATAGGAGGGAATCACACTAACCTACCTTTAAACTATGGAAAGCAGCTTGGAATCACACTGTCTTGAATTCACTGTGTTATCTTGGATACATTATTTCATCCCTCTAATCTTGTGTCCCTACATCTATCACAATGGGGACAATTATACCTCTCATATGGCTATGGGGATAATTAAATGAAAGGATGTATGTGAATATAAAACCCACATTATGCTGGACAAGAAACCATTAAAGAGTAATGAGTATTAGCTGCTTCCAGGGAGCAGTTTAAAGGATACCAGGTTTTAAAGTGACTCTTCCTGACAGAATGAGTTTAATCTCTCTCTCGCTATCTCAGAGGAGGAGAGGGGGAGGAAGGAGGAAGAAAGACAGGATAGTGATCTCCAAGAAATAAAACAACTACCATGAGAGTGTAGCTGCAGGGTTCTCTTTAGTGCAAACTCCATCTACAGGAGCAAGATATGGGGAACTGGAAAAATATTCTGTTCTTCACTGAATGTGTAACGGGGTTAAATGTTTAATATTTTAATAGTTGGCACCAGAATTTCTCTTAGGAAGAGAATTATCTTCATTTAGGAATACATTTTGATCACTTTCCCCATTGTGGTGCTGACAAACACGACCTCAGGACAGAATGCTGCTTTGCACAAGGGAGGGATTTCTTTTTCTTGTCTGTTTATGTTTTGTTTTGTACTTACTGAATAAAAGTGGCAAACATGAGTAAAAATAGAAGAAAAAGAGGAAGGAAGAGAGAGGAAACAAAGCTATCTGGAAAGAGGTCAGATGAAGAACCGGTGAGTCCTCTTGCCTCAAGGTGATGACAAAACATGGTGTTGATGTTCTGAAACCTCATCCTGGCTGACCATGTCTGTGCATGCCCAGAAGCTCTCCTATGTACACAGGACTTTCTTTCTTAAGAACATATCTTTTTAAAGTCCCTAGGACACAGGTGTAATCTACAAGTCCCAAAGAGTCTACAAGTTTTCAATATATGTACTCTCCAATCTTATTTCTTCTCAAACAAGCCCCTCATCACCATCTTAAGCATATCTGATAAACATTCTATCATTACCATCAGAGACACCACCACCATCCCCTCCACCTCCTACTCCTTGGTTAAATCCCATACAAGATTTTGCTTAGGCTCCTTCTTCCAGGAAACCATCTTTGTTTATCCCAGCTCAAAGCTACTCTCCCAAACAACAACTTTTAATGTTTAGGATATGCATATATATCATAAAGTTGGTGACTTTTTTTTTCAATTGAAGCAAGCCTTGTTTTGGAGTGCACCCCAGATAATCCAGTCTGGCTGGATGACTCAAAGTCAGGATTTCAGAAGATAGCTCCTGTCAGCCTCTTGAAATCCTTTTTATAGCAGAGATAAAGTGTTGACAGGGGAGGGAGAGTCAGCTGTTATACATTGTTAGAAAAATACAATGAGCTGGGTGGTGGTGGCATACTCATTTAATCCCAGTACTCAGGAGGCAGAGGCAGGTGGATCTATCTGAGATGGAGGCCAGCCTGGTCTACAGAGGGAGTTCCAGGAGAGACAGGACTATTATACAGAGAAACCTTGTCTCTGAAAACAACAAAACAAAAAACAATGAAGGGGAAGGCACAAGTGTAAGGATATGCATCATGGAAATGGGGTAATAAGTTTAGTGTGGGCTGAAATACATGCTTTGTAGTTTACATCAGGTCTAAAAAACAAGAACTTATTCTTAACTACAAACAGTCTAAGAAACAGGAACTTATTCTTAACTATAAACAGCAGCCTTAACTTGCAAGGACTTGACACAGTAAAAAAAAAAAAAAAGCAATTTACTCTTCAACTACAAACAGAAACCTTAACTTGCATAGGGCAGACAGAATTCTGGGACAGTCAGAAGTATGCAGAGAAATCCTGTATTGAAAAAAAAAGAAACGAAAAGAAGAAGTATGGTGGAGGGCAACTGACAAGGATACCTGGCATCAACTCTGACCTCCACATGCATTCCACGCGCGCGCACACACAAACACACAGGTACAGAGATACATAAAAATAAACATAGTTTTAAAAGACTTTGACAATGAAAAAAATAAAATGATTAGTAGTATAATAAACATTGAAACTAATGAAAAACTCAGAGAGGAATGAAATATTACAAATATTTAATATAAAGCAATACAAATTGTGAGACCAAAATAGCAACCTTGCAGGCTAAAGTTTCTGGTTGCAATAAAGAACTTGATTACATTTTAATCTTTTCATATGAATCTATTTTAATGATTTGTTATGTGACAATTTTACACACATAAGTAATTTGTTCTAATTATTCTCTCCCCAATACCCTCTTGTTCCTGTTCCATTTCTGTCACCCCACACCCACCCTGACACCTACCGATCCCTTTCTGGGATTCATTACTCAAGATTGTGATCCATTTAGTTTAACCAGGGCCATCTGTGTGTCAATTGGTCAAAACTATCTACTAGAGCCCAATGGAATCACACAACTGAGGACAATGACTTCCCCCTCCTCTAAATTACGAGTTGCAAACAGTTCACAGGGAGAAATGGGCCTCTGAGTTCCTATTCCTTGTATGTCTGAATATTCTAGAGCAGACCCAGTGCAGGCATCCATATAAGATGGGGTATGAAATAATATATGTGACTTTTGACCTCTAAAAAAGAATCTAAGCTTCTTGGGGGTAGGAACTAGTTAATTCAATAATTCACTAATTAATGAAAAAGATGAGTCTTGTTGCTTGACATGGTAGAGATAAATAGTAGGAAATGTATCTATGGTTTTCACCTTTCCATGTTTAAATCAGAGGATTTTTTGTTGAAAATCATAAAACATGGTTATTTCTTTGAAATTATATACTAATTTTTAGTGATAGTGAATAGTAAATACTAATTCAATTTCAATATAAACTACAAATGATTTATTATTAAAGGGCTAAGGTAACCTCCACCAGTGAGTAAAACTAGCTATTGTACTTATTGATCAAATACTATGACTAGCTCTTCCTAAAGATTCTCTGTTCAGTTTCTTAGAAACAACATATTTTTGAATGGGTTCTCCAAGCAACAACAGCCCACCCTTTAACTACATGAAATGAATCAATTGTCAAACTGATTTCTACAAATAGTAAGTGCACTGGAACCAATAAACCATTGCTAAAATTAATTTGATCTACTTTGTATTGGTAACTCATTTTCTATTTCCTATGATTCTGATCAAGAAAGCAGAATGTCCAGGGCACATGTGCATTCTACAAGACACTCTTCTGTTTTCGTTGACCAAGTATTGTATTGGGATGATACTACCCAACTTCAGAACAGTATACTGTTTGGTAGAAAAATACTCTCAGCTAACGCAATCAGAAACTACTGCAATTTACCACTACAAAAATTAAAAAGGATAAGCCATGAAAATTTGAACCCTGTGTTTTATGAAAACTCTTACTGACTTCTAACCCCCAGGAGGAATCAGTTTATGAGGTTGTCACTATAGTACTGTGTATTAACTGCAGCTGGATTCTTAGTAAATAAAAATAACAATTTTCTTCTTGTTGTATACTGATCACAAAATACAGAGAATAGAAATAAACTACTGAGGATGGCTCTTGTCTGAAACCCTGGAAGGAAAACCTCTAATGTTGAGTAGCATTGTATTGCAAAAATAATTTTTCTGTAAAGCAATTACTATTGGTGTGTATGGAAATCATATTGGGTGGTTATTAAAAGTAGACTCTTGGGTTAGGAGACAAAGCTCGGGCTTATGAATATTTGCCACACAAGAATAAGGGTCTGAATGTGAATTCTCAGAACTCATATAAAAGTTGGACATACAGTCTGAGCATGTGTAATCTCAGAACTCCTATGGGAGATGGGAGGCAGAGGCAAGAGAATCTCTGAAAACTCATGGGCCAGCTAGTCTGGGGCTTGTATCAGCAAAACAACACAGAGATTGTCTCCAGAAAATAGGAAAATGAGAACACCCAGTGTTATCCTCTGACCGCCACATGCATACCACACATGTGCACACCTCATCCACACAGACAAATGTGTACATACACAAGCACAACCATTCACACAAGGTAGATTCCTGAATCATTTTGTAATGCTGTCACAGTATATTTTTGAGTGGGGGCCCAGATATTTATATACTATCTAGCAACTTCAAATGATGAATTCTTGGATCATGTTTTAAGAAACACAGCTTTGATCGCATATGATGTAGCTTCCACTGTCTCTGAAGTGAGAAGATGCCGATGAGCTTCTCCCATAGGACCAGAGCCAACCTGGGCTCAAAGGCAGGTAATCACATCAGAAACGGCCTAGGCTAAAAGAGATTTAGGATTAAAAAGTTCCAACTAGATAGATTATGCCTGAAATTTACCACTAGGAGGGAAGGTTGGTCTTTGGCTCCTGTGTGATCAAACTTAAAATTTACAAGGCAACAAATCTCTTTAATGCTGTATTTTCAGTATGGAGTGAATGACATGCCTAAGTTCCTTTTTAAATATTCAGAATTTGGTCAAGTATGGCTGGGTCAGCTGCTGTAGACATGTTATCCTTACAGTAATTATTAGGTTTGGGTGCAGTTGCATCTAGCAGATTGTGCATGGTCTTACCTCAGGGACAGCATTGTCAGTGTCCTTCCGTAGAGAGCGTTCATTGTGAGTCTGGTCACTGGAATCCTGTAACAAAAAGCCTTTGCAGTTATGGCTCAGGTTTTAAATTCCAGTTTTGTCATGTTAGTTTTATAACTTACAGTGTGAAAACCTTTTATATTGGGACTTTGGAAGGTAACCACATGTGTAGATGGCCAGACACAGTGGTAGCAAGTTTTCTCTCTGATTCTGATGCTGACTCTTACTTGTGTCCCAGCGATGATTCCTCCAAGGACTCGTTATTCAGAATAACTCTGAGGCTCATCCTCATCTATAAGGGGTTACGATAAGTCTACATACCCTGTTCCTTCAAGCCTCCCTAGGAGCCATCCATACCAGGCCTGTATGCTTTGTGCATCTCTGAACTAAAATGGTCTCTTATATTTCTTCACATCTCTGAGAGGATCTCCTGCCTCAAATGACACAAAGCCTTTGATTATGCAGTGCTGCACAGTTCCCCATGGAAACAAACTAGTCAACAGAGGTATGTGAGAATCCAGGAAATGACTTGTGTTCCTTTATGTCCCTTGTGGTATAGGATGGGAATCAATAACCCTTTGCCCACTAAGACTATATATATATATATATGTATATATATATGTATGTATGTATGTATATACATATATATATATATATTAAAAGAAAAGAAGGAAAAAGCCCATTACTAATTACTCCCAAGAGGTCACAATTATCTCTTTTACAGACGGCATACATCAGATGGAACCTGTTTTCATGTATTTCAGCACATTTAGAATTAAAATCCAGACAGAAAGAGGAACTGTATTAGTTACAAATGTGGCCAGGGAGGTGGCTCATTCAGTAAAATGCTTGCCAGTCATTCATGAGGACAACTTTGATGCCTTGAAACTATGAAAAAAAGCCAAATATGGTGATGTGCTTTCAATTCCAGTCCTGGGAAGGAGACAGGCAGATCCCTGATGCTTATTAGCCAACTACTCCTTCTATTTAGGAAACTTCAGGTCAGGGAGAGACCTTGTCTCAAAATCCTAGCACTGAGATGCCCGAGGACAGATGTCCTGTGAGTTTGAGGCCAGCCTGGTCTTCTTAGAGCAGTGATTCTCAACCTTCCTAATGTTGCTAGCCTTTAAAATAGTTCCCCATGTTGTGGTAACCCCCAACCATAAAATTACTTTATTGCCACTTTGTAACTGTAATTTTGCTACTGTTATGAATTGCAATGTACAGGACATCTGATATGTATCCCCAATGGGTTGTGACCCACAGGTCAAGAACCACTGACTTAAAGAGAACTCTAGGCATATCAAGGCTAGAGAGTGAAACCCTATCTGAAAAAGAAAAAAAAAAAGCAAACACCAAGGTAGAAGGCAGCTGGGCAGCTGAGAAATGATACCCAAAGTTGACCTCTAACCTAGAAAAAAAATTAAGATTTTTACACAAAAAATGTTTCTCACAAAGAATATAAAAACCTGAATGATGTACTTAAGAATGCATTATTTCAAACTAGATACCTTTAAGTATATAACATGGGGCAAGAGAGATGGCTTAGAAATTAAGAGCACTTGTTACTGTTAGAGAGGATCAGCGTTTGGTTCCCATGTGCTGCCTCACAACCATGTACTGTTTGTAACTACAGTTCTCAAGACTCTGATGCCCCTTTAACAATAGGCACACAAGAAGTACACAGACACACATAAGGCAAACACTCATACATAATACAACATAAATAATTTTAAAAAGGAACAGCCACCTTTTCTTACACTGATACATTTAAATTATTTCTGAAAGATAAGCAAGAATTATGTGTTAGGAAACTAGCAAATCTAATTAAATGATTTTCATACATTGCATGATCTGTTGTAAGTGGCGGACTTAAAAATTAGAGCAAAATTATGCAAAATATAAAATAATGATCATAAATATGAATTTTGTTGTCTTATTTTTCTGTTGCTAGCTCCAAGTTTGAAGGTTTGGTCAATATTAGTATGTGTAAAATACAAATAAGGAATGGTAAGCTTAAAGCTACTGGCAAAGAAAAAGCTGGCTTGAGGCCCCAAAACAGGTCCTCTGTACATGGCCCATGAGCCTTTTCTCAAAAGAGTAATTGGTGAAGGTGATGCTCAACATTCAATGTTTACTATGAGAATATCCCTATGTAAGCATACTTACCATGCACAATAAACATATTCAATCAAAACTTTAAAAAGCACTAACCTCTAAAAATAGTCAAGTGATTTTAAGACTTAATATTGAATTGACTTATGATTTCTGAGATTCACACAGAGGCCTAGCTGAAGAACAGCACGGAAGTTTCTCATGATATGTGCTACACCCCACCTGCTTTTATCTTGAACTTTCCATAGCATTTCTTTAACAGCCCATCATTGGTTGGAAACTTCTTTGCCAAACAAGCAAAAGGTACCAGCTATAGATTCAGTGAAGCATGAAGCCATAGCAATGGAAAGAACTCGATGAGTTGATTAGTTAGACAGCCAAGTAAGTAGAGGATTTTCCTGAAAATAAAGACTGCCAGGAACAGTTTGCAATTGTTCATGTTTGGTATAACCAGTATCTCATTCAGTTCTACACAGTAAGTACTATTAACATTTGCATTTTACAAATGAAATTTTAAACTACAGAGCTAAGCCATTTAGCCATGGTTAAACAGCTGGCTTGGCTGACAAGTTCATGGTAGTAACTGGCATACTGCATGCCAATCTTCCTATCAGAAATCCCACCTAAGCAAATATGGTCTGTTTATTAGAAACCAGTATACATTTCTTACAAGTTTAAAGATAACTATCAGGTCATTCTTCCTCTCTGTTGAGCATGAAATTGAATTATGAGTCCAGTTAAGGAGATTTTTGTAAAAAGCACTGCATGGTAAAAAATATTAGGTTCTTAATGTCTAATACCAGGCTATTATGTTCAAAACAAAAATGCATTTTACAGATGATTCAAGATGGTATGAGTGTAAAACCCGATTAACATATTTTTGTGTTAAACTCACTAAACCATGTATTTTACAACTGCAATCGCAAAGAATAATAATACTAAATTTAGGAACAAGTTTGGTGTAAAACATGTGCTTCTATTTATTCCCTTGATGTCCCATTTTAGGATATGAATTAATGCTTTTGTAAGACCCTATGCTAAGGAATGCATAGGCTCTCGAGCACATAAGGCAGGACAGAGGATCCTAATCCTGTCAGGGTTGATGGAAGCATAAAAGAATGACCTCATAAGATACCTTCAGAGGCAGTAGCTCCTAGATGATCCTCAGGTTAACAAGAGAAGAAAACAAAACAACACACACACACACACACACACATACACACAACCTGGAATTCTCAAATTCCTGGCAGAAAAACAAAATATCTTTCAAACATACTTTGTCAGACAGAATTTATAAAGGACATGTGTGTCAGTCACAAGGTTAGACACATGAAAATCACAATCTTTTTTTTTTTTTTTTGGTATTTATGAGACAGGGTTTCTCTGTATTGTTTTGGAGGCTGTCGGTCCAGCCTGGCCTTGAACTCACAGAGATCTGCCTGCCTCTGCCTCCTGAGTGCTGGGATTAAAGGCATACGCCACCACCGCCCGGCCACAATCTTATTTTTGACTTGATATCTATGGTAGACAAAAAGGAGGGTCTGCAGCAAGAGAATGCGGTTCCTGGGTTTATGGGAAATGGAGGCAGAAGTGTTTCAGGGTGCAGAGAAGTTGCATGCTAACCTTAAACGGCTTCTGCTTCCCTAGCCAGGCAGCCCTTGTGTTCAGGGAGCAAAGTACAGGGTGGAGCTGGGAGGCAGCAACTGCAGCTTGGGGGTTCTGCGGGCTACCTGGGAAGCCAGTGGAAGCCAGTAGACAGTCAAGATAGCTACAATGCAACGAAAAGATGGCAATTGGGGAATTTCATAGCAGTCATTCTCTTTGCTCAGGTAAGGCAAATTTTGAGGGACTAAAGCAGAAGAAAGCTATTGGTGCATTTTCTGATTGGTCCCTAGGTTGTTGGTCTACGACAATGCTAGTTGAATAGGAATGTAGAGAAATCCTTGATAACAAATGCCTAACAGCTCTTACCAAGCTCCCGAAAGACCTCTGGGCTCTTGTGTTCATGCACTTCAGAAGGGAAGCCAGGAAGACAATTCAAATGGCCATCACAATTACAAGAAGGGCCATGGCTATAGTTTACCTGAGGAAACTGACCTAAGTGGGTGGGGTGAGGGAAGTGGTTTCCCAGGTAAAGATCCTTGATGGTGGTGACAGAACAGCATGCCCTATCACTGAGCTTAAAGCTTAAAGGTAGCTGGAGAATCCTCCAGTGAAGTCACAGTTTTCTCAGGAGAAAAGGACCTATTCGTGGGGAGGAACTACTCAGGATAGTATTGATAAGTGGTACCAGTCACCAGTGATGAATATTTGGTAAAGTACATTGCAGTTTTCTTTCTAATTTTCAATTTGAAAGGCAAAACGGCTTCAACCTTTTTTTTTTGGGTGCACACTCAGTAACAATATTTGTAGAACATATCAGTTACTATGCTTTAAAGGAATACAGCTATTGGCTTTTTAAAGTTTTTTTTTCATAAAATGTATTTTATTTTGTTCATGATTTCCCCTCCTTCAACCCCTCAACTACTTTGAATCCTCCTCACCTCCCTATCCACCTAACCTCATGTTCTCTCTCTCTCTCTTTCCACAACACACACACACACACACACACACACACACACACACACACACACACACATCAAAACAAGAAAATTAGAAACAGCCTAGGTGTCCTTGATGGATAATGAAGTATGGCACATTTACACAATGGAATATTATTTAACGGCTAAGAAAATTCCTCCTCATTGGCTCTGGATATTTGTTCAATGCATTTTCAAGTTCTTAAGATATCTTAAAGCAAACTTTGATGAGATTTTGTAAAAAAACAAAAAAAGCCTGCAATATTTAGTACCAATGCTGTCTATTTGGTGAAAAGCCTTAAGTGTCGGTTTCTAACAGCACAACCCACTATGGCAAGGAAATGAAGATACAAGCAATTTAGAGTCCTGTGACTATTGATTTTTTTTTAAACCCTCTCTCTTGATAGTATTACAAGTAACCAACACCAAAGACAGGGCTACTAAGCTTGCAAAGATAAGAAGACACCTTCAGAGCTTAAATGAGAAGCTTCTCCAGCTACCACTTTTAACAAAAAGGGAAAAGGTAGCTTACAACAATGAATTCGAAACACAGGTCTCTGCTGTCCATAAGTGCCAGAGCAGAAGCTGCCTAAGGACTGTGTTGTTATCCACTAAGCCCTAGCATCAAGTTAGGAATACAAATTTGCCAAGTACTTCCTACTATGCCAAACTAGTGCCCTATTCTAACAAGCCAATCTAACCCATGTCCCAAAATGTCTGATGATCTCTAGGTGATAAGGACAGGGCTTGCCATTGACAATGATGTCTGCCTCTGCACACCAGAATTATGGACTCACTTAGGAGGTTTGGTCACTTGGACTTTGCTGTCCAAGCTGAACAGATCAATGTACATCTTACAATGTTCCTCAGGGATTCCTTCAT